GTTCAGGTACAAACACCCAATGATAAATGTAAATGTATTGTATACCTAAAATGTACCAATTAATATATAAATTAAAAAATAGAATTAATTAAAAAGTTTAGTTATATATTACGCTGATATCATGCTCCAGGTCCCTGAAACAAAGAAAAGAAATATGGGTAATTGGGTAATCATGGTATTTCCCCCATTTATCACTTTCCCCTTAAGAATGAGCCTGTCCCTTCCATTACTGTGGGTATCTGGTCATGACCTGAAATCATGGGTTAGCTCCTTCTCTGCTGAAAAGCGGAAGTCCCGAGGCCTGGCAAACAGCTGTCCAGACCCATCTCCCTCAGCCCTGTGTATAAGCATATCTTGTTGATGATCCCTTTTCTTCAGCCTCACAGCTACTGCCCGGTCTCGGTTTCCCATCTGGAAACTGCAGTGGCTCACTAGGTGGCCTTTGTGTTTGTTACCCTCTGAAATTACCTTGTCTCTTTTACTGTTTTTTGTGGATTTCCCCCATCAGCCTATAATCTTGTTCACCCGTGGCTGGCACAACCATGGTCCAATAAATATGCCTTGATTGAATGGGAGGAGATGTGAATTGTGACCTTCTCAAGCAAAAGCCATTTCCTTTTCCCAAAGGGTTGGTATGAAAGTGAGCTCTTTGATAGATCTGGTGGCAACATTGTGCTAACCTCATTCAAACTATAACTGATTTTGGAGTGATAAAATGTAGTCATATGCTGCATTTTAGGTGTGTAGTTTGTATTTTTCACACCCAGGAATGGAAGACAGCAACTGAAATATTCCCCCATTGTGCTGTTGAGGCCACTGATCTATTTCTCTATGGTGATGCTGGTGGGCAAAGCACCTTCTACCTCATTCCCAGCACTTGTTTTCAGCTGCCTCTCTTTCCACTGGCTCAGGTTGGAATTTACCTGGGTTCTGTCTGAACTTCTAAATGTTTGTCTCATCAAGTCTGCCACCCTGGTATTGACTCTTGGGGCTCACATATGTGGTTTGCTGTTACTCTGCCACAATCCTGATTACTTTGGGTAATGTGAGTTGGAATGTCATGGCACAGTCCAAGAGCCTTCAAAGGGAAGTGGCCCCAGGTTGTTTCTTTTCTCTTTTTTTGGTACTGGGGATCAAACTCGGGACTTTGTGCTTTCGAGACAGGTGGCGGAATCACTGAGCTAAATCCCCAGCCTTTCCCAGGTTGTTTCTTGTCTAAATTAACTCTTTTCAAGAGTACTGTATAGCCTTCCCTCAGTCTCTGCAGTGGATTGGTGCCAGGTACCCCGCAGATGCCCACACCTGAGGATACTCAAGTCCCTTGTATACAATGGCACATATAATCTATGTGCATCCCACCATATACTTTAAATCATCTCTTGACTATTAATAATAACTACTACAGGTACACTGTAAGTGTGGGTAGCTGTTATACTATTTTATTTAGGGAAGAATGACAAGGGAAAAAGTCTATACACATTCAGTACAGACACCATTTATTTTCCTGAATATTTTTGATCCATGGATCATAGGTTCTGTGGATATTGAGGACAAACTATACTTGATCCTCCCCTCTCCTTACTGCCACAGCTCACTGGACTAAGGGTGGTCATGCCAAATCATCCCAAAGGCAAGCTAGTGTGTCAACTGGCTAGTGTGGCACAGGAAGCTCCAGGCAATGAGATAGGTCAATTATATCACATTCTTCCCTCTTAGAATTTGACCTGGGAAATGAGGACAGGATCACGTGGTCAGTAGAAACTGGAAGGTTGTGAGAAAGGGCCCAAATCAGTTATGAGGAATCAGGAGCAGAAGCGTCAAATTGAAGAAACAGCAGAAGGCTCAGGAATAGGAAGAGCTGGGGGAGATACAGAAAGGGGAGTTGGCACCAGAGAGTGGCCAAGTCAAGGTGAAGGTGACACCTTAGAGGGAAACTCCAGGAACTCCTGCCACTGGGGCAATGGAGCCATGTTGAATTCTTGAAGATCTTCTTGTTCCAGGCTCCATGATCTCAGGGCATGGGATGAGCCAGGATTTGGGGGAGATTGTGGCTCCACTGTGGCACCACAATAAACTCTCATGCCTGAGTTACTCAATGCAGCTTGCTGTTCTTTACAGGCTCACAAGCCAGCATAATGAAAATGTTCCATACCAGCATGGGCTGCCCTGTTAGGCCCCATGTGTGTTGGCAGGTACCTGGGGCCACATCCAGGAAGCTAGGGCCTTGCTCACAGGGTTTGTATTCACAGTGGTTGTTCAATTCCTCAAGGATCTGGCCTGTTTTCTTTTACAAAATGCATCTCTAATTTATGTACACACATATAAAGTATATTTTATGACTATATTTTATATATAGGTTAACTGTCCCTTCTCTGAAATGCTTGATACCAGAAGTGTTTGAAAGTTTGAATTCTTTTGAATTTTGGAATATTTGCATACACAGAATGAACTGTATTGGGAATGGGACCCAAGTCTACACATGAAATTCACTTGTGTTTCATATACATCTAATACATCTAGCCTGAAGGTAATTTCATGTAATATTTCTAGTGTGCCTGAGTTTTGACTGTCACCCCTCCTATAAGGTCAGGTGTGGAATTTTCTATTTGTGACATCATGTTGGTGCTCAAAAATTTCAGAATTTGGAGCATTTTAGGTTTCAGATTTTTGGATTAGGAATGTTCAATCTGTATAATATAAAAATATATAAGTATATATAATATAAATATAAACATATACATACACATGTATATTGCTGATGCAGCAGAATTTCAGCGAGATGTGTTAGAGTAAAGTTTGTATAGTCACAGTTACACCTGAGAACCCTTTAAAGTATCTGCAGAGCACATATACATGGTTATGATTCAGTACAACTACAACCCTGTATGGTAATATGTAACTATAAATGCAAGGAAATATCAATCCTCTCCCATAAAACTCTTGCTAAATAGGTGCAATGGGAAAACACAGATTCGGCTTCCCATCCCCTGTCAAGTATTCAAAGTAGAAAAACTGATCATAATTTGCAAGTCTTTTCTATCCCAAATGGCAATTGATGAATTCTTCCAGGCAAACGAGTTGCTATGCCACTCCCTGTAAGACACATATCCCCTGGGATTAGTTTAATTTGAACCCTCATGGTTTTCCAAAGAGTTCAGTAGTTCTAGTGATTGGCACATGTATAATAACTCCATTAAAGTAGGAAATAAAAATCATAAAAAGGGGACAATAAATAACCCAAAGCAATGAGGGTGACATAATCCAACAATGAACAATTAAACTCTTACACTTCCTGTAGATAGAGGGAAAAGGAGAAATTCCTGGAAAAAATGATAATTGTTTAATCATATAATTAGTGAAAGGGAGATGTTTCCTCCCAGCACTATTTAAAAATACTGCCATTCATAATTTCACCATAGCTATCTTGTTGATTTTGCTTGCATACTCTATAGTCTAGTCCTTGTCTGCAAGCAAAAGACTCCCACTCTTGTATTCTTCTAGAGAGTTTTAATGCATATTCAACAATATCATCATCAATAGCAATGAAATATATGTGCTTATCTTCCATTTGCTTTTTTCACCTTGATTTTCTTTTAATAATATACCTTTCAGGTTTTTCCATATCAGTAGAAAGAAGTATGTTAGTTCATTTGGGGTGGTATAACAAAACACCTTCATGTGGTAATTTATAGGCAGAAATGTATTGCTCAGATTCTGGAGGCTGAAAAGTCCAAGATCAATGCACCAGCAGATTCAGTGCCTAAAGAGGGTCTGTTTCTCACAGGTGATACCTTCTACCTGTGTCTTCCTATGATGGGACAGTCAGCCTCCCTCAAGCCTTTTACAAGGATGTTAATCCAGTTCTTGAAGGTGGAGCCCTAAAGACCTAACCACTTCCTGTAGTCCAGTCCTGAATCTTATTACAATCACACTGGCTGTTAGGTTCCAACATATGAGTTTTAGGGGAATAATAATATTCAGACCACAGCAGAAATCTTCCTCTTTCTTGTTCATAGCTACATGGTAGCTCACTTTTAGGCTATATCTTTATTTAACCAGAGCCCTGCTGATATCATTTGGATTGCTTCTGTTTATTCATGGTATTGTAAACAAAGCTAGGGTGAAAAACCATATATATATATATATATATGTAATTTCACACATGTGCATATATAGCTGTGGGATAGATTCCCTAAAGCAGATTGCTGGGCCAAAGAGGACATGAATTTGTAGATTTGATAGCTACTGCCCTAGTCCCCCTGCATCAGGGTTCTAGCAATTTATGCTAGAGGGGTGAGCGCCACATTACAGCTACAGTCTCAGAACCTGTATCCTCCTGCTCCATCCGGAAGAGCAAGCAGCATGAGAAAGGAAGAAAGGTGCACTAGGCCCCTATTACAGTGGGACCTCAGTTCACAACACTGTTGTTTACAAACAATTTGGTTCACAAACAGAAGAGTTTGGCAAATTTTTTTGTTGTTGTTGCAAACTACGTATCTGGTGACAAACACGACCGTGGCTATCTTTCCCACACAAACACAAACACAAATGTGGCCATCTTTCCAAAATCAGAGAACAAATTCAGTTCATGAAATAAGGTACCACTGTATCTGCCAGACCTCTTTCTACACTCCAGATACTCTGCCACAGTTTGAGGCAAAATGTGTTTGTTTGACTTTTACAAATGAGGAGGCTGAATCTCAGAGGGAATAAGGAAATTTGCACAATGTCTCAAGTCAGTGGAGCAGGAGTCTGGTGCCATGGTTGGCTTTGAGGCCCATGTTGGTTCCAGGGGGCCAGTCAGGGTGCCAGGGAGGGTATCTCATTAGGGCTACCGTGTATTCCTGAGACTGTTTCTATCAGCATTCATGAACAGCGGACTCCATTTCCCAAACAATTTATTCTCTTGCTTGCCTTGAGCTTCGAGTATCAGAGCTCAGCTTATTTTCCCCATCTCTCAATTTCCTGCTCCCAGATCTCAATGACTGACCCTCACAAGGGATTTCTGCAGCTGGAGCAGGGTTCTTCCAGGTATGGATCGCTCAGAAGAGCATCTAGCCACAACTCCAGGTCCTGAACTAGCTGCTCCAGCTCCTGCACTTCTTCCTCTAACTTCTCCAAGAAAACATGCAAGCTGTTCTTCAGCCAGTTCCTCAGGAGCTTTATTGGCTCTTTGGAGGGTTCACTGGTCTGATATTCAAACTCCTGAAAGGTAGAAACCAAAGTTTTATCTCAACATTTTCTACTTGGCCTTCTGGTTTCAGAAAGCTCCCTGGGTCTTTGCACATGTTATTCATTCTGCCTGCAGTACACATCCCAACCTGGCCAGCTCCTTTTTATCTTCCCTGACCCAGCTTCCCAATGATGCTCACCTAGGAAGCCTTCTTGGTTCCCGTAACTTGTATTCCCATCACTACATTCCTAAATATGTTACCTGGGAAGCCACAGGATTCTGGAAGTAGTTACATTCCCTGATTCTTTTGTACATCTCCCAATTTCTTCCTGAAAGAGGCACAAACACCACCTCTTAATAAAGGCCAATGAGTGGCAGTTGAAATAAACCCCATTGGTCTTCCCAGTGGGAAGAGGGAGTAGGAGAAGGCAGATCGTGGGGGTCCCTGGGCAGTCATCATCTCTAGAATCCCCACTTGATCGTGTGCACTTGGCTCACCTCTTCTCAGATTCCAGAATGCTTACCTGATATCCCTGTGCCCAAGTACAGCACCAAGACCAACAGTGAGAACAGCATCTGGGGGCAAGAAGAGGACAAAGGAAGGGTACAGGAGGGTGAGTTCCAGTGGTCCTTTGTCTCCCCTGCTTTCCCAACAGGGCCAGGCATGGGGGAGCTACAAGATGGCTTTAGAGCTCGACTTTATTTCTAGTGATCTAAGTTCTGTATGCTTACTGAAGAAAAAATCCCAAACATTGCAGAAATATATGACCTGACGACTTGCTGATATTTGTTTTCCCTCCTTTCTCCCTTCTGAGAGAGGAAGCCCACGTCTGTCCTTCTTCCTTGAATAACTATTACATTTCTCATTTTAATCAATCTTTAAAAAGAATCACTTTTATTGCAGCATAATTTACATACAAAGACACGCACACATTAAAAAAATTCTTTTATTGGTACATTTTAGGTATACAATATGTTTACATTTATCATTGGGTGTTTGTACCTGTACATGATGTATCTTGGTTCTTATTTTTTCCCTCATTATCTGTGCGCCCTTCACCCCCTCCA